GTCAGTCTGTGCCCTCAGTGAAAAGTGGGCGAGTTTACGAGCCCAAGTGAAAGTGGCACCCAAATTCTAACCTGCATCCCCCGCCTGGCCAGCGAACTTGGTTTGAAAGCACCACCAAATTCAGGCAAGAGGGCTCTGTGTGGGGGAGAGGATTGATGTTAAAGACAACGCCTGAGAAAGAGTCTAGGCTAACTCTGCCGCGAAGACATACCCTATGATGCATAGCAGAGTGGGAGGGGAAAAAAGGTTGTGCTGGGCTGACTTATGTTTTGTAATGCCTCTGTGGTTGTGTTTTTAAATGTATGTCAAGAATACCCAGAGTTTTGGGTAGGCACCCTCTGCTGGGAAGCTTCTTTTTAGAGGTAAAACCTTAATGAATAAATGGTGAGACTATTTACACTTTGTTAATTTTTTAAAAAAATGCAGGGCCTAGATACTGCAGTGAAGGCTGCATTGTAGAAACATGTGACTAGATTTGGAGGGGTGTAGTATTGTGTTCCCATTGTGTCATTTGACATGGGGCTGGGGTCAAATCCTGGTAGAAGTTATCCAGGATTATCCTCATCTGGGATTTTGTTGAATCTGGCCCATTCTGAGGGCAAAATGGTTAAGTATTTTTTTGAGCCACAGGATGTTTAGCAGCACCATTTCACGGAGAGGAAGCAAGGCACAGAGAAGCAAAGTGACTTGCCTATGGCCATACAAGAAGTATGTGGTACATGAACCCAGTTCATTCAAGTCCAAGGCTAGCACTCTAACCACTGGCACATCCTTCCTCTCTCTGCCCTGTCTCTCCCACCCCAGGGCCAATGTAGCCTAAGGTAAGCAGGGGGAAGATTACTTCCACAGGGCAAAGAAAGCAACTCAAAATTCTTCCAACACGTGGGAAAGTGGTTTAACAGGTAGTGTGTATACGCCTGACTTGACATGAGTAATTAAATGTGGGGAAGGTCTCATTTCTTGGAAGACAGGATTAGAGAGGTAACTAGATGAGCAGGCTGAAAACAGAATTTTTGTGCTAAGATAAGTAAATAGGTCAGTAAACTGAAAGACACAAAATTTCTGAGCTAGCTGAAATAAGAAGAGGAACAACCAGGAACCATTTCCTAAGAACAAGGTAACAAGGGATAAGAGAAGTTGGGATCATAAAGTTGAGGTAAAGAGTAAAGTGAAACATGGACAGAGCATGCTGTAAGGGAATTGGTTCCTGCAAAGTAACCAAGCCAGTCCCAAAATGTGATGCAATGTATAGTGAATATAATGTAAGTGTAAATGTGTATAAAGGAAGGGGGCTTCTGTGTAACTTTGGATGTGTGGTATACCGCGTACCCATCCCCTATGCCTGAGTCTGATCAACTCAGCATAGCTTTGCTGTATGCAGTATAAAGGAACCTGAGTAATGAGACTTGAGTCGAATCGAGCTCTTGGGAAACGCAGTGGAACAGGTCTCAGAGGCTACCCCAACAGCGTGGTGTGTCCAGGATAGGAGGAGCCCTCACTGCTCCATGATTCATCCACCCCATGTGCATTCCTCCTTGCCCTTTCTTTCCACCTTCTGTTCTTTTTCCTCCTTCTTAGCCCTAAAAATATGTAAGCATGTTTCATCCAACACCCTCATGACTTGGTCCTTTGCCTATCAATCTGCATCATAAAAATGGCCCTACTGGGTCAGACCAAAGGTCCATCTTCTGACAGTGGCCAGTGCCAGGTGTCCCAGAGGGAATGAACAGAACAGGTAATCATCAAGTGATCCATCCCCTGTCACTCATTCACAGCTTCTGAATTGTCTGATCAACCCATCCTGTATTGTCTGACCAGTTCAGTGAAATGCTTCTCTGCTTTGCCTGATCCTGCACTGCAGCTTGTCTATCCACCGCTCCCGTACGTCTATACCTGGTAGAGCAGGGGGCAGACCAGTTATTAGTGACATGATCTGGCTGTGGGAAGTGCATGAACAATGCTCCAATACCACAGCATGATAGTCTGTTTCAAGTTAACTAGCCCATAAAACAGGGAGCACAGCAGAATGTCGAGGACTGGATCCTCGGACCAAAAACTGGGCAGGTGATTCAGAATTCAATAGGGGAGATGAAGCAATGATGCTAAAGAAAGTAGCTGAATTTGTCGGAAGTGTGGAATGTCGGAAGTAGGTGGAGTTCAGGGCTCCTTTCTCCTCCTGCCACCCTGTCTTCTTTATCTCTATTCTTCCCTGTCCCTTCCACCCCCAGTTTTTCTGCCTTCAGCTGGCTGAGTCATACCTCCAATCTCTTCTGTCACATTTGTCTGCTTGAATCATCTTTCCTCAGGGAGGTGTCTCTTGTCAATAGGAAGAACATATTTTTGTCTTAGCTGTCTCTTACCATCCATCTTTTCTTCCATTTCATTCCCCCCCGACACTTTTTTTTAAAAAACTTTTCTCCTTTTGTCTCTTGGCTTTTCTCTGGTTTTCTGTTCCCATTGTGTCTCAGTTTTGCCTTTGACTTAGTAAAGAACAGTACAAAGTGGCAGTTACTTTACAGAAAGAGGAGACTGGCTCAAAATAGGTTTGGATCTTTTAAAGAAAAAAATCAATGGAATCAGAAACAAGCAAATATTAGGTCTCTGTTACTTTCTCACAGAAAAAGACATGTAAAATAGGTACATAGATTAGCTATGCACCTCTCACTCCTGATAAGTTTGTAACTTCTATGTGAAATGTGGTCATGTGTCTCTGTTTAGGTGCCTCCTATCCTACTGAGTTCCCACCATGTCTCCATAGACAGCTGCAGTTCCTCTAATTGTGGTGGACTCCTAGGTAGTGTGGTCTACTGGTCTAGATCTGGGGAGGCATTGGTTTTATCCTCTGTTCTGCCACTGACCTACTGTATGTCCCTGGTCAAGTTGCATCACTTCTCTGCAAGTGTTTTTCCTCTGACTCTTTTGCCTATCATACCTACTTAGATTGTATGCTCTTGTGGAAGGGACTGTCTTTTACTGTGTGTTTGGCAACCAGTTGTTCTGGGTGCTGCACAATCTCACTTGTAGGTTACAAATGATTATTTAATTCCCTAGATGGCTTGAGGGGTGTGGGAAAAAATCCCCGTTCCTAGAAACCTTTCACAGCAGAGGTAAGATTTATGATGACTGTTGTTTTCACAGATTGGGGAAGGTATAGAGTTTTCTGACACAGAATTTGCAGGGGTACTTTATATAATCTCAGGATTTATCCTGGTCTCTCTTCTCTACCTAACCGGGCAATGAGTTGGAGGCAGGTCCGTGGTCGGTGGATGCCCTGCCTCATCTAACAGGAAGTGTTGTCTCTGGAATCAAGGCAGAGATTCCTCTGACTGACAAGAGACGCTGTGTGCAGCAGAGCTCCATCATTAGGACACATCACCAAGCTAAGCAGGCATTCTAGATGTATTAATTTGGTTCAGAAAAGGCACAAGCACGTGAGCGCTTTCACACGAAGTTGTGAAAGAGATACTAAAATATGTCGTCGGGAACCAGGGCTAGTGGTAAGAATGGATGTCTGGAGGCCAGCAGATCTGAGTGCTCTTCCTTCTTCTGCCACAGACTCCTTATCTGTGAATTTGGACAAGTCTGCCATGCTCTTTGCTGCAGCTGTCCCCACGTACAAAGAGAACTTACGTACATCATAGGTGTATTGAGAGGCCTATTGTAATTAATGTTTCGAAAGTGCCTCAAGATCCTCCCTGGAAAGGTACTGTAGGAGTGAAAAGGATTATAATTTGGGCAGGGATGCATTTTTCTGTGATTTATACAGGCCTGAGCCTACCATCACCACCATTCAGGTAATAAATAATAAAATACTAGAACCTTCTTGAAACAAATAGCTCCTATTTCAAAGAAAAATGTTTGAGTGCGTCAAGATTATCTGTTGACCGTTTTCCAGTGATAGAATATCTCTGAGAACAGCAAAACAGAACCCACACAGCACTTCCTGGCTGCTGGGGGGGGAGGTTTCAAAATGATCACCTTCAGGAGGGAAGGTAATCTCGAACATCTTTCAGCTTGTTCAGACAGGCGGGGGCGGAGGTTACTGCTATGTTCTTCACATCCACATTCCAGTGCAATAGGCGGCAATGATACCAAATGCACAGGGAGGGGCTATGGGAAGGTTGTTCAGTGCATTTACTTTTTTGGTGCTGGCAACCAGCATTGATATTCATCATAAGCATGCTTGGGCGATGTTAATGATGGGTGCTTAAAGCAGTGGATGCGACCTCTTTGATGTTTAAGATTCCGGTGCCACTGGCCTGCTTGCTGTGTTTGATAGGTGTAGCGAGTCCTGGCATATATCACCAGGGGAAGGACAGAGTGTCTGCTTGTGTCTGCGATTTTATAGATTGATCCAATCTGCTCTTAGGATACTACGGAGACCAACAGTGTGGTGAAGATCACAGTTATGTCTTTTGGTGGGTGATATTTTACATTTGATTAAAATCGTTATGGTTAATGAAGGGGACCTACCTTTTCATTCTCTAGAACATTTAGCAGGTTGCTCACCATGCAAAACCTTCATTTGCTGCGAATTACAAGTCTCAGTTAAACCCAAACCACCCTATTGAAGCCAGTGGGATGGATAGGAGGAACAGAAGGTAGGCTGCGACCCACTGGGGCAGATTCATCCCTGGTATAATTTCTCTGCAGTCAAAGGAACGAGCATGGGTATGCATTTGGCCAATGTGTCTCACGGCTGTACAGCTTTGTTAATGTGTACAGAGCAGTATGTGGTGCCTATGTAAGAGTTTAGTAGTAGTGTTGCCAAAAGGCAGGTGACTATGCAGTAGTATTGTAACACGTTTGCAACAGAGATGCAAATGTCTTGTAAGAAAAGGAAAGAAAGGTAAAACATTTCTTGATTACCTGTGGGATAGCATCCAGCCTTTGAAAAACCAAATTAAGTGCTGCAGAAACAAAGCGTGGTCTACGGAGCGGACTTTAATTTGCACCAGGACAGAAATCCTGCCTGCTCTCTGAGTTGCAACGTTTTGAATTGACCTTTTAAACTAATATTTCCCATTGAAGTGTAATCTGACCCTGCAACAACAATAAACAATGACCTAGGCCCTGCCGTGGAGCCTCTCAATCCTCTTCAGCAGCAACATGCCAGTCCGGGTTTTCCAGCATGCCCTTCAGACAGGGGAATGTCCCTGAGACGCTCACCCTGCTTGGGAATTTCCACAGTGCCGAAAAAGTCCAAGTAGCCACGCTGGTCTCTCTCCACCCCAACTTCCTCTCGCATGTCACAGCATTCTCCCATCTCCCGCCTCCTGTTAACCATTGCAAAAGATAACTGGGGTCTGAATCACGGCAACAAAAAGACCCTCGTCGGTTACACCAGATCTGTATGTAAATAGAGTCAGGTCTCTTCTCTTTTGGTTATAGGGTCAGCGTGAGCAGGGCTTGTGTGTGTCTGGAGGGGGGGACTTTCCTTGCTGCTGCTGCTTCTCAGTTCCTCATTATTACATCTCGGAGGAAACTGCTCTATCCTTTTCTCTCTATCACAGATAATTATTGAGGATCGGTTACCAGTGGGGAACAAAGTAATTGCTTATTTTGTATATATCTAAATCGCTCTACAGACATGAAGGTACAATATAATTTTATTCTTTACTTTTATAATTTAAAAATCGTAACAGTAAGCGTATAACTGTATTTTTCTCCCTTTGGACAGCCTTGGAAATTGCTTGTGCTATCATTGTCCAGTTATTTCTGTAGTGGAATACCAGGTATATTAAAATGTTTGATTTTGGCTAATGTTAACAGATGACAATCAGGAGTGAAGGAGCTTAAGTGAAGAGTGGGATTTTAAAGAGCACCGAAGTAATTTAGGAGCACAATCCCATTGATTTTCACTGAGACTCGTGTTCCTAAAATACTTAGGTGCTTTTGAAAATCCTACCCGAAAGCCCTTTTGGTAACTATCATGGCTTGTGTGAAAATGGATGATGGAAGAAGCTTAAAAGCTTAGAGTATTAGTTGAGGCATCTGTTTTAGGAAGCAGGTGTTTCTAGTAGCTTTGGCTACACTATAATTTATTTTCGTTTGTGATTTATCAATGAACTGCAGGAGGACAGAGTGGAAGCAACACAGCTGCAATCTAAAGTGAGTAGCAAGTCATAATACATAATACAGAATGTAGACAAATACATATAAAGAAGGGAATAAATATTTATCATGAATGGAAATTTATTATGGGACTGAAACAAAGTTTATTGGCCAGTAGGAGCTTCTCTGTCTTATCACTTAATGAAAATTATTGACTCTTACATAGCATCCTATTTCATTGTATCACACATCTTATCAGAAGGTGAGGGAATGTGTGACAGAATTGGGCAAAGTGACTCTTGTAAAGGACAAAACATGGTCTGGATTCTGGAGAGAGCTGATACCTCTTTGGACGTAGTTCTGCTACCTGGAGTTGTTGTTCGGGGATTGGATACCTTGGTGATAGGCATGGACAGGATATATTCTTCCTGTATGTCACAGCTTACTTGTCATTGTGTGGCACAGCAAACCAAGCATGATGTCCTGAGGTCTTAGGTTACCATTTCATAAAGCCAAATAACAAAGGGCAAAAGTCACCTAGGAACACTTAAAATTAGGGCATCTTTCTGCTCAAACTGAAACTCGTAAATCAAGACAGACACACTTTTTCTTTTTGGTTATTAGTTTACCGGTTTTCTTTGCAGAAGGCGTTACATTTTGCTTCATGCTTACAGGAAGTGCACAAAAGGAGGAGTGTTACTCTTGATTCTGTGTTCCTATCAGACCCCCCCGAATTCCTGAGACTAACCTCAGCATATCACTGCTGCGTAAGCAAGTGTAGGTCGTGGAGGTTAAAATTGTGTGTGTCCTGAGCCTCTTTTTAAGGGACTGTAATGAAAAGGGCAATCATAGTGAGCAGGAGATGTGAATCCAACTTTGCCCATGGCCTGGCTCCTGCAAAGCAAAATTCTGCAATCACATCTGCATGATGGATATGGATTTAGATATTTTGTATTCCCAGCTCAGGCCTGGTCTACACTGTGGGTGGGGGTGCACGAGCTAAGTCGGTCTAAGTTACGCAACTTCAGCTACGAAAATAGCGTAGCTGAAATCAACGTACTTAGAGCTACTTACCGCGGTGTCTTCACTGCGGTAGGTCGACTGCTGATGCTCCCCCGTCGACTTCGCGTACACTTCTCGTTCTGGTGGAGTACTGGAGTTGACGGGAGAGCGCTCGGCGGTCAATTTATCACGTCTTCACCAGATGCGAGTTTTCTTGCCTATAGGAAGAACAGAATGCTGGAACTGAGAGCTCTTTCCCCCCGCAAGCCAACCCCCCACCCAATGATTTGAGAACAGATTTTTGTTCACCATCAACCTGCGTCATGCGGCTTATTTCCAAGAGTCCTGAAATTGTAAGCTGAATTATATAGGGTTGATATATTGCTGTAATTTGTTGTTATCCATGACTATGACTCCTTTTAAATATATAACACTTGTTCTTTAAGTATTTTTATTGTTCTCATAAAACAATAGAAGCAGAAGAGGGCAGAGATACTGTTAATATCTTTTGTGAGGACCTACCTACGAAGTTGACTATCATAACTGTACATATGGGTCAAATTGTGCCCTCAGATAGACTGGTGCTGTCCAGTGGATGAGGATTGCACAAATTTAATTGAGGGAAAAATTGGTCCCAAGACATACAGTTTATGCCAGTATTTTGTAACTTTTAACCACACGGTTTGACACTTTCCTCGCTAAGGCAAAATTTTGTCTGTTCACTGGCATTGGTTTAGGTGCTTTGGTATGATAAAATTTCTTGCTTCTTGAATTTCATGCTGACTAATAGATGAAAGATGGCCAACTGAATCTCAGGAGTTCCCTGAATTCAGTAGGCTTTGGATCAGGCCCTGAGAAGAAAGACTTCCTCCTTAAAGAAAAGGAGTACTTGTGGCACCTTAGAGACTAACCAATTTATTTGAGCATAAGCTTTCGTAACTTACTCTTCACCCATTACACCAAAGCAATGCAGTGCATATGGGTTGTGAGACTGGAAACTTAGGGTTCTCACCATAGTCCAATTTGGGTAGCTAATTCTGCCTGTCTAAATTCTCCATGTCATTTCAACTGGATAAAGATTTTTTCCCCTCTTCCAGTCCTAGCCAGTTGAATGGTGATACTGTGCTTTGTTAAACAGCTGCTGCAGCCCACTCCATAAGGTGACTTAATTTCAATGGTGAGTGAAGTGTTTGTGTGTTCCTAAGACAAAATAAGTGGATGTAACAAATTAAAATGTGTGTTCTGGAACACCAAGGCCGTGTTTACAAATCCTAGCCTTAATATTCATTCCAAGTGGAATCCTATGGTAAGAATCAGTGAGCAAAACATTCAGCCACATGTGGTATGTGTCCCACATTAGTGAACAAGATAGCCGTTCCGGGTGATGTGACATTGCCCTTTGTCATGGGGAAATCTGCGTTTTGCTTATTAATTATGTATACATTATGGTGTTTGCTGTGTGTGTTGCTTTAGAGACCAGTCCCTGCCCTGAGGCCCTTACAGTAGAAATGAGAATGGGAACCTAATAAAAAATGATGATCACCTTCAGCAGTTTGTACGTGGAGGAGTGCTAACAGCGAATAAGGGGTATGGAGAAATTGCATATGGGAAAGCATTACTTAAAAAGAATTCAGATCAGCTGCGAGGCAGTTTCATAATGCATGGGAGCCCTGATGTTTCTCCTCCCTACTGATCTTGGCTCTGTTTTGCCCACAGTCTGAGAGAGGCCAACCTTATTTCATTTTTGCCCTGAGTAGGGGCCTGATCCCACAAGGTGCTGAGCACCCTCAGCTCCCAATGAAGAAAAAAGGGGTATTAAGGGCATTCTGTACCTAATAGGTTCGGATCCTAAAATATTTACTGTGTACGAGCACGCCCAGTTTTCCTTTTAACATGAAGAATTATGTATGAGCATACAACACACACAAACACAATCTCTAGTCAATGTAGTTCTAGGCTGACACCCCCGAAAACCACCATCCACAAAAAAGGGATCAGAACAACTATAATGAAGTCAGAAGCAATACAAGGTTCCCCACGCTGGATTTTAGAAGCAAAAGGTGTCACATCCCATTTCCAATCCACTGAGCTGTTCAGTCTCCTTGTTAAAACTTAAAGCCAACTTACCTACTGCTTCTGAGTAGTCTCTGAAGAGAAAATAATCATTATGCTTTAGCCTCTAAATGCTGTGATGCTGTTCAAAAGACAAGTACAGTGTTACGTTGGACTATATTTTGGAGTGCTATTTAGAAATCCTTCTAGCACACAAGGGTGTGGCAGCTGTATTTGTATAAATTGACCCAAGAGCTTGCTGTGCCAGGCTAAATATACTTATTCTAGTGTAAAGAGCATTGACATCAGGAGCCTTAGTACAGCAAATATTTGCCTAGATAATGGAATACGTTTGTCAATTGTAACATTTGTTTTCACCTTAGACAACTTAAGCAATGTTCTGGTGATCCTATCCCAGAAATATGTTGATAAAGGAATCTTATCACTAACAGTTCATAGTTTACTGGTGTATATGAATCTAAAATTTATAAGCTCTTGGGAGGTAAAGCACAGGGCATGATGGCCAGGAGAGACAGGGCAAAGGTTCCTCGATTCTTTTTTGTGTGCCTCTTGGATTCTGGGGTCTGGGGCAGTTTCCAGTGTGAGTTAGAGCAACCCCAGACACTGCTCTAACTTACAGGAGTCTTGAGCAGCCACTTACATGCTGTTCTGCAGCCCAGATTTGCCAGAGCAAAGAGCACTCCTCCAGCCATTCCGCCATGAACCCCTACCATAAGCTCCTGTACTTCTCCATGCTGCAGGCAGCATAGGCCCATATACATCAGTGCTATGTCATTCCTTGCAGAGGATATTCTGCTAATGGTGGTTGTGGCCTATTTACATTCCCTTTCTGGGAGCAGGGGCCAGATTCTGGCTCTACATTGTTGCTCTGTAGTGTTTCAAATGTTTTTGAATCTGTGTTATGAAGAGTAAAATAGTGCTGGTTCAAAAAGCTGGCTGGCAAAATCATGTCTCTTAAACTGAATTCATACTGTCATTATTAAAGAGTACTGTGGTGCTGAGACATGTAACTATGATTAAGCTAACTGGTTAATTGTTACATGTCTAAGTAGTTTCAGTGATCAGGAACATCTAGTCAAGGTAAAACCAGATTGATATATCTTATGTCCACCAATATTTGACCAGTATAAGACAGCAGTTTAAAGTGAGAGAGGGGAGAAGAGTTATATTTTTTAAATGGGATAATAATGCACTTCCTAATTTTGTAGGGTGCCCAAATATTATAGAAGTAAGTGTAGGTATTTACTAGTGAATTTGTTTATTAAAGCAAGGTTTCAGCAAAATGTTTGTTTCCAAATTTGGCCACTAGTTGGCATTAATGGTACACTGCATAACTGCATGACTTGTTCAGAAAAACAACATTGGCTCTTGCTGTCCTGGGTCAGTGGTATTTTTTTTGACCAGCACTTCATATTGACAGCCTATTATAACTGATGAGTATATGAGCCCATGTGAGGTTCTATAATGGGGAAGCTATCCACTGCCTGAAAGTTTGTTACACACAGTAACAGAAAATGAAGGTGGTACAAATCTATTTGATTGTATTTGAGCTGGGTCTAATATTCAGACCCTAATTTACACCTGCGCTGTGGAGCTGTGGGTATTGTTGCATTAATGTGCTGTTACGGCCCCACGAGGGGAGGCTAGTAGTGGCATGTGGTGAATTACTGAATCCACTGAACTTCTCTGGCATGCTCCTTCTAGTGCCTCTCTCATTTTTGACTGTGCTTTCTCTATGTTGGTCCCGCAGAGGAGTAGATATTCCAGTCTCTTTGTGCCACTATCGTGTCCTCTACCCGAGGAGGAATTTCCAATACTGGACATGTTTATTGGGGTCTTCGCCAGTGGAGCCACCGGAGACCCTGCTTGATGTTCAAGATCTTTAGCATTATGGTTTTAATACCTAAATGTGACAACATAACAATCATTTTATGTATGTGGAAGTTACTGAGAAATGACAACACCCTTGTAAGGTTGCTTTGAGCCAGCGAGTGGCTCCTGTGCAATAAATGGGGGTACGTGTTATAGAAAGGGTTTGTATTTACAAAGCTCAGTGGAATTAGAAAGACCTTAGGATGTCACACGGGCTGCAGCAGTGTGCTGATTGGGCCACAAGCGGCCCATGGGCTGTAGGTTGAGAACCACTTCCCCAAGGTAATATTCAGGGCACTGCTCTTCTCTTCCTATGTGTTTTTATAGCGCTTAGCAAAATGGGGCCATGATTTTGACTGGAACCACTGGGAGCTTCCACAATACAAATAACATAATGAATCTGATTTTGTGTGAAAGGGGTTTTTTTTAATTAATCTTGACATTTTAATGAGAATGTTATTGATAATTGCAACATGATCTAATTATTTGGCTTATATACTCTTCACATGTAAACTACTGTGTGTTTGTTAAGAGAAGGGAAACCCGTTTGCAACAATAGTTAAAACACGCACCCACACCTCACTACCAAAGAACTAGGTAACGCTCCAGTACTAAGTACAATATTGAGCTTTTGGTGTAGGGTAACTATAGATAGGTAAAGTTTGATCAGTCTGTGCAGTTTTCAGAAAACTACCTTAGGGTGTCATTTATCAGTTAGCAAGTGTGAAACGAGTAGTTTGGGATGAAAGGATCTCACATGCTGTTGTAGTAAAGTTATGTCTATGCTATGGGGACTATTGTGGCATAGCTGTAGCGCTGTAAATGCAGCCTATGGAAACAGGGCTTTTCCATTGCTGTAGGAACACTACCTCCCTGAGCTATGGTAACTAGGTCAAGCAAAGCATTCTTCCATTGAACAAGCTATGTCTACACTGGGAGTTAGATTGACATAGCTACAGCCTTCAAGTGTGTGGATTTTTCACACCTCTAAGCACAATAGCTATGTTGACCTAAAGTTTAAGTGTTGACCAGGCCTAACAAATAGTGACAATAGCTACTTGCTATCAGTACAGCATTATTGAGTGTGCTGTTGAATTGTACATGGTTCAGGAAGGGAGAAAAATCATTTTACTGCATCTATAAAATCTATGACCTGCTTTTGCAAACCCAAGACCTACTGCAGTCAATAAGAATGCTCACACATAAGACAGCTCGTGGAAATATGTGAATTTTAAGCTTTAATTGACTACTGTGTTTCTGACAGTGGCGTGAAAAGTTTGCATGGTAGCTGTTCTTGTTTCCTAGTTTACAATGCACATTTTTCTACAGGTTTCAGAGTAACAGCTGTGTTAGTCTGTATTCGCAAAAAGAAAAGGAGCACTTGTGGCACCTTATAGACTAACCAATTTATTTGAGCATAAGCTTTCGTGAGCTGTAGCTCACTTCATCGGATGCATACTGTGGAAAGTATAGATGATCTTTTTATACACACAAAGCATGAAAAAATGGGTGTTCACCACTACAAAAGGTTTTCTCTCTCCCCACCCCTATCCTGCTGGTAATAGCTTATCTAAAGTGATCACTCTCCTTACAATGTGTATGATAATCAAGTTGGGCCATTTCCAGCACAAATCCAGGTTTTCTCCCTCCCCCCCCCTCCCCCCGCACACACAAACCCACTCTCCTGTTGGTAATAGCCTATCTAAAGTGAAAAGGAGTACTTGTGGCACCTTAGAGACTAACCAATTTATTTGAACATAAGCTTTCGTGAGCTACACCTCACTTCATCGGATGCATACTGTGGAAACTGCAGAAGCCATTTCCACAGTATGCATCCGATGAAGTGAGCTGTAGCTCACGAAAGCTTATGCTCAAATAAATTGGTTAGTCTCTAAGGTGCCACAAGTCCTCCTTTTCTTTTTGCTAATACAGACTAACAGGGCTGTTACTCTGAAACTTATCTAAAGTGATCACTCTCCTAACAATGTGTATGATAACTTTGTGCTGGAAATGGCCCACCTTGATTATCATACACATTGTAAGGAGAGTGATCACTTTAGATAAGCTATTACCAGCAGGAGAGTGGGGTGGGGGGAGAGAAAACCTTTTGTAGTGGTAAACACCCATTTTTTCATGCTTTAAAAAGATCTTCTATACTTTCCACAGTATGCATCGGATGAAGTGAGCTGTAGCTCACGAAAGCTTATGCTCGAATAAATTGGTTAGTCGCTAAGGTGCCACAAGTCCTCCTTTTCATTTTTCTACAGCTGGTCAGATTTGAACGTATAGATTAAATAAATAGGTCATTGCAAACAACCCTCCTCTTTCACCTGATAGTGAAAAGAAAATCGGGGTAATACACAGTAATTCCTCCTCCTTCCCCAGTTTGTTTATCTATCTTTATGTGGTACCCAACGCCCTGGCATCTAGGTCCACAGTCAAAGCTCCCCCAAGCCAGTGACTCACGGGGTTGCTGCGGTCCACACGAGAGGGACAGGGCGATCATCACGCCCTCCCTGCCTCAGCCCAGCAGCCCGGGTTGTCTCCACCCAGCACGAGAATGTACCAGCGAGGGACAAACACCGGCTGGAGGAGCGGTGCGGGCGGGACGAGGGTGGCGCTGCGTCGGGCTAATGATTCACCCGCCGAAGCTCGGAAACCCGCCAGGCCCCGGAGCCGGCGGTGTGTTGCCCAATCCCGGGCATTTACTGGAACTCCCGCCCTCGGCAGCGCATCGCGCCCGGCCCCGGCCAATGGCCTGCCCGCCTGCTGCTGCTTCCCCGCCGCCCGCTCCTCGCCAGGCGGGGCGGCTATATTAGACCCGCTGCCTCCCCCGCCGCCTCCCACTCCTCTCGCTCAGCTCGCCCGGCCTGCGCTGGCAGCTGCTTCCCGCCCCGCGGAATATGATCGTGGACAGCACCCGGGAGACGCCGGCCGACGGCGACTCCGGCTCCCTGAGCAGCCCCCTCAACCTGGCCTATTTCTATAGCGCCTCCCCCTACTCTAGCGATGGCAGCTGCTCGCCGGCGCACTCCGCCCCGGGATCGCCCGGCTCCGACTCGGAGCTGTCCGGCGGCAGCAGCGGCGGCGGCGGCCGGAGGAGGGACTCCCTGGACGGCGCCCGCCAAGCCCTGCAAGGTACGCGCCGCCCCCGCCCGCAGCCGTGCCAGCCAGAGAGACCCGCGCTGTCGCAGCCCTCCCCGGGCGGCAGGGGCCGGGGTTTTGTTCTCCTGCGAGCCTGGGCCTTTAGCGCCTAACGCGGGGGCCCCCTCGGCGGCAAAGCCGAGCCTCGGCCTTCGCCCTGGCGCTGCGGGGGCAGGCCCGCGATCAGCCGAGGCGGGTGCGCGGCTGGGGTGCACCCCGCGCTGTGCCGTGCTCCGCTGCCCGCCTCTGCCCCAGCGGTGGCTGCGCTGCAAGGGGACTGTATTGGCCACACGGCTGTGCTGAGGCAGTGGATCTTCCGAGGGAAAAAGCGCCGCCTCAAAGTAAAGCGGGCTACTTTACCGCTTGCTTACCTCCCAGGCGTCTTCTGCGGCCTGTTCCATCCTCTGATGGAAGAGGCTCATGCTCGCTTAAAATGCCTGGTGTTTATCTAGCACCTAGATGCCAAAGATGTAGGAAGTTGTGATGGGTATAAGACCATGTGTAACTAGTTGCAAGTGTGACCTTGTGCTATTGCGGCCTTTTTTCCTTTGCTGCCCCTTAATAATTTTTAACTTGTATATTGAAGTGAGGAGGGGAGGGGTAGGCATAACCACTGTATAAAGCAAGTTGGTTACAACAAGGGATATTTTGAAAAAGAATGGTTAGGAGTTCATAACTGAGAATGGAAAGTAGGCTAGGAAGAAACTAACCTTCAAAGGGGGAAGAAACTGTATTTTGCACTGGATGATTCATCCTCTCGTCTAGCGCATCTTTTATAGGACAAAATCCTGTGAGCTCAGCAGAGCGCCCTCAACAGCCTTTGCTCATTAGGCGGGGAGGGCACTTGGCGCTTCATAGTAGGTGCTCAGCACCTTGGAGGATGAGGCCCGAAGGGCCAGACTCTAATATCCTTTACTCATGGTAAGTAGCACCTTACTCCACAAGTAATCCCATTGACTTCAGTGGAATTCTGCTTGTGGGGTAAGGGTATCAAAAGCTAGCACTAGGCGCTGTGTGTATTGGGATGTCAGTACAATCTGGAAACAGCCTTTTATGTACAGTGGTTTATATAAAACAAGTCCTTGAAAATGTTTGCTCCCCCATTTTAATGTAGCACTCTATAACTATTTGATATATTTGCATTATGTCTTTCCTCCCTCCCCAAATAATCTTAAACTCACCCCCCTCCCCGTTTGTTTTTTGTCTGGTTGGATTTATTTTCTGTCATTTTTTTGTTGAAAACACTTTTAACCATATAAGCATGATCTTAATAATCTTGTTTGTATTGTCTTTTTACAAACAAAAAATCTGTCAGCCTATTTTCCACTTCATACCTCCACTCAAAGGCCCTGCTTCTGGCTAGTCCTCTGGCTAAGGAAAGCTGGGGCTGTTGGACTGTTTGCTGGGATGAGGTGCTTTGAAGACCATAGAGAGACTTCTCCTACTTGACATCAGTGGTCTTTGACTCAAGCCCTTTATTTCCTCTTTCCCAGACAGAAATCCCAGCTCCTGCTGGCTAGGGAAATTTGGAACCTGAACTCTGATCTCCAGTTAAGACTTCAGTGTATATATAAATTTTTATATATTAGCCTCTGTACTTTCCTTATCAGATCACATAATTTCCTTTTGCAAGTCGAATGCCTTAGATCATCATTTCCTGTCTTCCACTTCTGTTTTTGTAGCTTGAAAAGTGATTTAATTTTAAAGAGGATGTGAGACAGAAGAGGTCAGGCAGGGAGTGTCACAGTTGTATTGTACTTCTAACAAAGCAAGTTTTCTTTCTTAAAGCAGCAGTTTCAGTCACTATGGAGATAACAAACACAAGTAATTCTGAAAATTATTATACAAACCCCTGTAGCATTTTGACATCTAAAATGTAATAGTTTGGGGCAGGGGACAGGGTTGTTTTTTTTTTTTTGTTCCTGTGTTTGTACAGTACCTGTGAGTGGGGTCCTGCTCTGTGACTGGGGCTTCTAGCCACTATGATGCTGATGTGTTATGTTATTTCCAGCTTGTTACTCAATAAGAGTTGTTGAGAATAAGACTCAAGAGAAATAAAATTCCAGCAGGTTATATTCTTCCGAAACACTGGCTGGCAAGGTTCTGTGCAATATAGTTTCATGTCAAAGGACTGTCTGCATTTTCAGTTGAAAGCAGAGTTTCAAGTTATTTTTCCACAGTTGTTGTTTCTTGATTTGTCTCCTTGGGTCAGGGTTGTGCCGATGCATTAATTTTGTTTTTGTTTTGTGTCTCATCAGCTGAACGCCACATGGGGGGAGGAAAGCAGCACAGAGGACCTTTCCAAGGGGTTCGTGTGAAAAATTCAGTGAAGGAGCTCCTATTGCACATTAGAAGCAACAAACAGATGTCCTTAGGCCATGTTGCTGATGAATTCAAGGTAATTCAGTATTTTTGATGGTATGGGTCAAATTCAGCTCGGGCGTAAATGAGTTCAGCTCTGAATGAGGAGATGCACCATTTAATAACACTACAACCAAATTTGGCTCCTTGCTGATGTCCATGTGAGCAGAGGTATTTTTCTTTCCCAAAATAGGAGAAGGGAAGAGGTTGTGGTTGGGAGGTAATTGGGAAGAAGCCAGCAGGTGGTTTCACTGTGCTTCCTAAAAGAAACACATTTTGAAAGTCTCTTTTGCTTACTAAACTTTATTTTCCAAGTGGAGCATACATAAACACAGACTTATATTTGAAACTATGAAAACTCACTGTGCAGTCTGATAGAATTCTGGAAAGGGTTGAGGGGTGTGGCATTCTGAGAAGGGAACTATTACTCAATTGCTTGTCAGAGCTGATAGCCTGCTCAGTGCTATACAGGACTCAAGAGTGAAGGTGGGTGGGTGGTGTGTTCCCTGAGGAGCCTGCAATCTAATAAACGGAAAACAGAGGAAATGAGACATGTTGGGAAGCCCAGAGAGAGGAGTACCTTAGAAGGGTGTCTTGATTTTGTTTTGTTTTTGTTTCTTGTGGACATCCCATAAGAGTCTTCAAGAGCAATTCTCTTATGGAAAATTGAATTTAAATTATTAAATGAATTGAATTAAATGAATTGAATAGAATTTAATAGGGATGAAGCTGATAGGTTTCCATGGAATTTTCTCTAAGATCCTATGGAATTTAATAAATGTGTAGGTTTTTTGAACCACCCTATCAGATTCTGTAGCCTGGATATAATTGTTACCAGTCTATAAGATGGTTCAAAAATCCTGTAGAAAGGTTATAATTTTCTCTAAAATTTCTGTAGAACTCTTTCGTAAGAGAAGGCTTAAAAACAAAGGATTTTTTTTCTTCATCCAATCTGATGGAGATTAAAAAATGAAAATATGGTCAGGCCATCACCTATTAGGGCTGCTTTAAGGGACGGGGGGGGGATAGTTAGTGTTTGCATTTTTTTTTTTTATTATTTAAAGAGCTGCTTTTAAATTGGTTTTGGCTTTTTTAAAATGTATTTATTTTCTACATAGGCGCAAGCAGGATTGATGAACTACGAACAGTTAACAGGTACGAGTGTTCTTACTTTTGTATGCCTCTGTGCAATACCTGTATAAATATTTTGGAACATTTGTGAAGTAGATTGCAAGAGTAACCTAAAAATGATTGTAAATGCATTTTCTTTGAACAGAGTTGAAGAACATACTCGCTCTTAGTGGTAAAAGAGAAGCTCATGAGTCTCTCTCTGATGGACCCAGTTACAAAAGACCAGCTACGTTCCACTCTCACCTCTTGGTACATACTTCTATAATATTTAACATTAAATTTATTTTTCCACTTGGTTTGTGTAATAGGAAACAGTCAGCTAAATAATTCTTCTACATTTTTTGTTTTAATTTTTCTCCAGACACCACCACAAACACCAACCTCTATGGATAACATGGAAGATGCCCATAAAAATGAACCAAAACATAATGGTTCTGACCTGCTTCAAAATATTATAAATATTAAGAATGAGTCGAATCCTGTTTCTCTGAACACAGTGCAGGTCAGCTGGCTGCACACCATATCTAACCATAACTCACCAGGGGACCGATATCAGGATATCCAAGGGGCACAAGCTTTCTCCCCGTCTGAGAAGTACCAAGCCTTCCAAGCCAATAGTCCCCAACAAATGCTGGATCCACCCCAGAATTACCAGTTTTCTTCCTCACAGACCCAGGATTTGCCACAGAAATATACTCGGGATTCATTACTGGAATACAGGCCATTTTCTGGCAATGACCAGTCCCCTGCCTACCAACAGAATATCTTTGAAAGCCACGAACTGCAGTATTGCCCAACCCAAAGTTTTGAATCTCTCTTGAATGATTCTGAACACTCAGAGAATATACTCCAGCCTCTAGCCCCTGCCCATCAGCAGTCTGATGTCAACGCCCACACTCAGAATTTCAGCCTAGTACCAAATAACAGCTGTAGTATGCTCGATGGACACAATTCATCTCTGACTACTCTGAATGTCTCTCTACAACACCAAGGTATTGTCAGAAACACAACACAACTAGGCAAGTCATTCTTTCAGTGGCAAGTGGAACAGGAAGAAAACAAACTGGCCAGCATCTCTCAAGAGCAGATCCTTGCAAAAGACTCAGATGGGGACACGTGAGTATTGTTTATTTTACCACTGCTAAATTAGAAATGTGTGGATTTTTTATGCTTGATTCTGTGGATTGTTCAGTTGGAATGGGCTTTCATGTATTAGCAGTGGGTGCATATTAAGAATGTGACGGCTGCTCCTATCAAATAAAGGTGGTACAGTAATATTGCTGGTACCCAGTATTACATATGATTTCACTGTTATAGACTCTGGTGTAGATCAGTGCTTACATAAAACGGAAAGCACAAATTTCATGCCATCATTGAATGTGGAATGCTTGCAGCTTGTATACCTTGCACTTGTATTTCTCTAATGGTACGTCCCCCATTTGCACAGTTTAAATTGTAACTTTCTGTATTTGTGTCCTTCCCTGCAGGTTCCTTCACATTGCTGTTGCTCAGGGTCGACGGGCTCTTTCCTATGTTCTTGCTAGAAAGATGGCTGCTCTGCACATGTTGGATATTAAAGAACACAATGGCCAGGTGAGGTTTTCCATGTCCCAGACTCTTTATGTGCTTCCAAATGCTGTACATTTCCAAACCCTAAGCCAAGTGTGGTGGAATGCTTGTTAGTATTCAACCTGAGGTTGAGCCTGCATGCCACCTTGGGCTGTCATCAGTTTAGTGGATTACCCAGAATCAGTAAGATTATGTTCTTGGAGTTATTTGTCCCAGTTTCCCAGTGTCCATAAGTATTGCTTTATTAATAGCTTTTGTATTGGGGATATATTTAGTCCCCATTTCCTGGTAGATAACAGCTGACTAATATGTTAACTTTGTTTCTCAATATTTGCAGAGTGCCTTTCAGGTGGCTGTGGCGGCCAATCAGCATCTTATTGTTCAGGACCTGGTTAGCCTAGGGGCCCAAGTGAACACCACAGACTGCTGGGGTAGAACGCCATTGCATGTTTGTGCTGAGAAGGGGCATTCCCAAGTCCTTCAGGTAAGAATCATAAAGGCTGTGAAGCTTTTCCCTTTGCCTTCCTCCCTATCCCTAATAGCTTTACATTCTTTTATGACCCTTTCCAGAAGCTTCTGAAAACAGTCCTCTGTGCTGCCAAGCTTTTATAAATATATCCCTTACACTAATGGCCTAAA